GCATTGATATATGCCTGAAACATGTGGATATACCTGTTGATGTACTGTATGGATGTGATCTTGGATATTTACACGATCAGGCAGTAACCCTGGTGTGTAATATACCTGTTGATGTAATGTATGGATGTGATGTTAGTACTTGTACGATCAGGTAGCAACCCTGGTGTGCAAGTCATGAGGTGGCATCCCTCATGTTGGTAGGAAACAGACGAGTATAAACCCTTTCATGTTCCCTGGCCAGTTGAACCGCACTTGCATACATCACATGATTAATGAGTTATAGTAGTTCGTCGAGCAAAAGATTATACTGTCATGATATATATGCTTTAACATGAACATGCATTGAAATTACTGTTTTTGAACTTATATTATACTTGTAAGTGAGCTTGGGGAGGAAGAGTTCTTGAGGATCCCTTGTCTTACTGAGATTTCTTTTTAGAGATCTCACCCCACGTTTGGGGCACATATTTCAGGTTCAGGTAACTCGGGGGTTGAGACCTCGGTCGGCAGGAGGCCAGAGCTGAGTTGATATTTATGCGTTATGATGATATGATTGGATTATGCTTGGATGCTGACCTGCTTTATATTTATTATCATCTTGTTGTTGTTGTTGTTGAGACTCTTGTTGGGCTTTGTTGCCTTATTTGGTGAGCATGGAGGTTGTCCATGCCACATTGATTGACTATGTCTGATTTTTAGTATTGAGTCGTATAAATGTATCAGGATTATGGTCTGGACTATGTGTTGTAGTTCCGTGACTTAGATACTCACATTTATTTATATATTGAGGTTATTCAGTGTATTTAGCTTTATTGCAATTTACATACAGACGATGTTTTTTGAAAAAGGATTAAGTAATCAACTTGGTAATATTAATGAAGTCATAATTGGAAAGAAAAAGTTATTCCGCATTTTTATTAAGCGTTGTTTAATACAATGACATGTTAACAAACCGGGTATACAAGGGGTATTACACTGTGCTGCCCCTCCTTTGTCGTATTCCCCAAAGTAAACTTGCTACCCTCCTTTTTGCCTTTCCCTGACACATCCTTTTTCTGGTTCACTTTAGGCAGGTGGCTAAACCTAGGAATATCATAAGCTCCTTTTTGATTCCTAGTTCCTTTCGCTCTTCCCAAGTTGTCAGGCCTGATGGATTTCGGTTGACCGATGGTCCTCGTCGTACCAGACCCCACCATATCCGGTTGCGCCTCCGGTAGCTGGAGCTTCTCTTCCTCCACAGGTTTCGCTGGGATAATCTTTGTCTTCCGTCCTTTGGGGTACCGTTGTACCATCATCCAGCCACCAAAGGCTTCCTCCTCCCTTTTCTTTGAAGGGGGCATCTCTTGTTTCTTACTAACCGTGACTCCATTCGTCCCATGTTCCTTTGCTTCCTTGCTCTCTGCCTGTCTGACTCCACCAATGCACCTATCCTGTCTGTGGCCATATTGGCCGCATGCAAAGCACACCAAGTGAAGCCCTTCATAGTTCATACCCTAATGAGAAGGTTCTACCCCCTAACTTGAACTTTGATACCAGACTTTTCCTTAAGTCAATCTTAACACATAACCTTGCAAATTTTGCTTTATCAGTAGTTTCTCCTTCACCATCGTTTGATTTTCGTAAAGAGTTGCGGTCCAGTGTTAGCGGTCTCCCAAAGATGCTATCTATCATCCATAAGTGTCTAGAGGAGTACAATTCGATGGAGAGACCTGGTATCCGGATCCATACCGCCATTTTCTTGAAAGTTTCATCATAAGGATCAAAGAGGAGCCTCCACCTTTGAACCATGACATAGTGATCCACAATAACCCAGGGGCCCTCATGGAGGACATGGTTGTAGTCCTTCTGATCATGAAACTTGAAAAGAATAAATCCATTGTCTAGCTCGATACTTTCGTAGGTGCCCGTAGGTCTCCATATCTTAAGCAATCTCGTCACTAAGAATCTGGAGCTAATCTTACGTCCCAACAGCTTGACAATGAGGGTTGATTTCCATTTCTTATCGTCCTCTTTTTGGTCTGCTTTGGAGTAGTGGTAGGTGGGACACAGTGGGTCATCTTCTTCTCCCTGGTTTTCCTCCTCAATAGGGTCATCCTCCTCTTCTTCCCTTCTTTGAATGGTCCTTCAGTCTTCATCCTTGGTATCTGAGGCATTCCCCTCTCCATTGAGAACAAGTAGTTTGTCTTTGTAGGAGACAACTCTTCTGCTAGCTCCTGTGACGACAGCCTTGAAGTTCAATCCTTTCTTCTGGAAACTCGGCAGGTTTACCGCCTGTTCTTCCTGGGTCTTGTCTTGCATAGAGTCATCCATAAGGGCATCATCCAAGGGGACACCCTTTGGTTTCTTAATACTCCGCTCTCTCAGGTCCTCTTCCTCAATCGATAAACCATCCCTAGACCTTTCTCTTCTCTCCTTCTCCTTCTCCATTATAACCTGAAGTTAACTTTAATTTTTTAAGATGATTGTCAATTATTCCTGGGAATGTGGGCTGATTTTACAAAACTAACCATAAAAAAAACATGCGAACAAAAGCAATAATCAAGAAGCAGATATAACCAAAGGGAATTAACAAAAGGCATAAAACATGAGCAAGAATTCCAATCCCAAATTACATATAAATCACCTCCAGAAGACCCAAATCCTAAAAAAGAGAATCAAAAAATAAATATTTGCATTACTTAAATGTAAAGCAACGTGATATGATAATATGTGACACATAAGAGAGGATTTCAAACAAAAAATTTAGAGGGTGATTGTAAAGTACATGAACTGCAGAGTTATCCACAATAAGTTATTCAACAAAGGGACAGAGAAAACAGATAAGTAAGAAATACACAAAATGAAAATATTTAAAATAAAAAACCAAATTGAAGAAAGAAAAACGGAGATGAGAGAAAATAAAAAAAGTGAGAGATCTCGAGCAAAAGGAAACTAGAAATAATCATGAACACTACCCACATAGTAACGCCCAAAAGCAAGAATGAAGGAATACATTTCAGAAGCGACAAAGACGTGGTTAGATCCTCTGCTTTGGTTCCAGAATGGGGTACTTGATGAAGAAGGAATGCCATGAATGAAGGAGAGAGAGAGAGAAATTCGAGAATGTTTGAAAAATCTGGAATGAAGAGAGTAGAGCAGAGGTATTTTTGTCTGAAAAAATATGAAAAAAATTTCACCTCTTGGGAATCCAAGAATACCGACTTATGGCGGTATTTTTGGATGACATTTTCCTTCACAAAATAAATTCCTGATAATTTTTTTTTTCTAAAAAAAAAATTTACAATGCTTATGCTAAATAAGATTTCCAATATCAGTTTTTCAGAAATCTAAAAAATAAAAATCCTTTACCAAATGCCCCTATGAACAATATTAATAAAAATCGTTGAAGCTTTGACTGAGAGAACCAATGATCATAAAAATTAGAGTAAATACCTTTTTTGGTCCCTAACAAAAAACACGGTCCCATTTTAGTCCCTTACAAAAAAAACTAGTCTCGAGGTCCCTAACAAATTCAAAGTGGACCCATTTAGTTGAAATCGTGGTCCCTCACAAATTCAAAAAAGACCCATATTAGTCCCTCAAAAAGACTAAAATGGGTTGACTTTGAATTTTATAAAGACCAACTGACTAATTTTTTTTTATAAAGGACTAAAATGAAAACTGTATTTTTTGTTAAGGACCTAAAATGATATTTACTCTAAAAATTAGCTTACCTTACTGAACAATATATATTATTTTAAACTCTTTTATGTAGTCTAATATTTTCTTCAATCCTCTCCGCTTTTTCTTTTTCAAACCACCTATACTTTCTTCTTCTTCTTCTTATGAACCTGATCCATCTCACTCTCTTCTTTGTGCATTCGCCTGTCAACCATGGTCAAATCAATATTAAATCAGCTCGAATTTTTCCAATTGAGTCAGTTTTTGAAATGTTGCCCAAAATATTTTAAAATATGCATATGGGAATAAATTGACGACGTAACAATATTATTAAATTTGAACCGGTCATTAACTCGATCGGTAAATCAGTGAGTTGTTAGTTCAATCGCATGAATTAAATATATATAATAAAATACAATAAATATAAAACTAGAAGCATTTTAACTAATAATTAGAGTTGGATTAATAATAAATGCTATAAGTTATAATTTATATGTTTTATGTTTGAATTATTATTAGTGATATTTTTCAAGTATTTTTGTCAAATATTTCACAAAATTATTTTTTTAATAAAAAAATCGATGCTGATTTAATATCGATTGAACTTGGTTTAGAACCGGTTCGCCAATTTCATGCTGGATGAAATATATAATCAGTCTAATACCTAAACCGTATTGGTTGGAGGTTCGATTTACTATTTTTGTAACACTCGGATCTAACTATGGAAACATGTAACACTTATCTCTAGGTGTTTGTTAAAGTGTTTATACTATTACAATTATTATATAAATTTATATAAATTTAATTGAAATGGTTAAATAAATAATCTAAATCAGTAACCTATGTAGTATCCGGCCGAATCCATATCGATATGAGTTTAATAATACTAATTTCTCTATAATAAATCAAGGGAAAAGTATTTATCTTTTTAATGACATAATTTATATTTTTTATTTTTTTGTCAACTTTCTTTCTTTTTTTATCTCTCTCTCAAAATAATATAACTTTACATCTTTTAAAATGTCACACACTCTTGCATGTTAGCGGTTAAAACAATCCTTTCTTTCTTGCTAACATGATTCTTTCTTCTTCTTCTTTTTTGTTTTGTAAACATAATAATTTCAAAAATGTAAATTTATAATTAAGATAAAGTTAAAATTACAAGCAACTAATAGAATTTTTTTTTTTTTTTTTAACACAACTAATAGAAAATTCTGAATCACTTAATGTAACATCTATACAAGACATAAGGCATGAAGTGAAGTGAAGGCATATAGCAGAATTGCCTCTTCAACACAGACACTTCAGAGTTCTTCAAATTGTAACAGTCAGCATTGAAAGAGAAAACCTATGTTCCACGCCATATACCATAGCATCTCCCAATGCCTCAACTCAACCACTGCTTCTCTGTTACAAGCACGACAAGCCCATGCCCACATCCTCAAATTTGGTCTCTTTGGCGATACCCACCTCACCACAAGGCTCCTTTCTCTCTACGCAAACAACCTATGCTTCCCCGAAGTCAACCTCGTACTCTCTTCCCTCCCTCAACCCAACTTGTTCTCTTTCTCCACCGTCATCCACGCTTTTGCAAGATCCTACCAATTCCACCACGTTCTCGGTGCTTTCTCTCAAATGGGTTCTCGGGGTCTGGTCCCTGATGGGTTTCTTCTCCCCAGTGCTATCAAAGCTTGTGCTGGGTTGAAGGCTTTGAAACCTGGGCGACAGGTTCATGGGTTTGTTTCTGTTTCTGGGTTTGCTTCTGATTCCATTGTGATGTCTTCTTTGGTGCATATGTACTTGAAATGTGACCGAATTGAGGATGCCCACAAGCTGTTTGATAGTATGCCGGAGAGGGATGTGGTTGTTTGGAGTGCTATGATCTCTGGTTACTCGCGCCTTGGGCTTGTTGATAAGGCTAAAGAACTCTTTTCTGAGATGAGAAATGAGGGTGTGGAACCGAATTTGGTGTCATGGAATGGTATGATTGCTGGGTTCAGTTATAACGGGTCACATGTTGAGGCAGTGATGATGTTTCAGATGATGTTCTCAGAAGGCTTTTGGCCTGATGGGTCTACTGTCTCTTGTGTTCTTCCTGCTATAGGGAACTTGGAGGATGTGGTAATGGGCGCCCAGGTTCATGGTTATGTTATCAAGCAGGGCCTGGGATTAGATAGGTTTGTGGTCAGTGCACTGCTTGACATGTATGGAAAATGTGGCTGTGCTTCAGAGATGTCTCGGGTGTTTGATGAAGTTGATCAAACGGAAATAGGTTCTTTAAATGCTTTTCTTACTGGTTTATCACGTAATGGTCAGGTTGACACTGCAGTGGAGGTGTTCAAGAAGTTCAAGGCCCAAGAAATTGAATTGAATGTTGTGACATGGACATCAATAATAGCCAGCTGCTCCCAGAATGGGAAAGACATGGAAGCTATGGAGCTTTTTAGAGATATGCAGGCTGATGGGGTGGAGCCTAATGCTGTAACAATCCCAAGCTTGATTCCTGCTTGTGGAAATATTTCAGCATTAACGCATGGAAAGGAAATCCATTGTTTTTCTCTTAGAAAGGGAATTTTTGATGATGTGTATGTAGGTAGTGCATTGATAGATATGTATGCCAAGTGCGGAAGAATCCATTTAGCTCGGCATTGTTTTGACAAAATGTTAGCCCCAAATTTGGTTTCTTGGAATGCAGTTATGAAGGGATATGCAATGCATGGAAAGGCTAAGGAAACAATTGAGATGTTTCATATGATGCAGCAAAGTGGCCAGAAGCCTGACTCGATTACCTTTACATGTGTGTTATCTGCGTGCACCCAAAATGGCTTAACAGAAGAGGGATCACATTATTTTAATAGCATGTCCAAAGAACATGGCATTGAAGCTACAATGGAACACTATGCTTGCATGGTGACACTTCTCAGTCGTGTAGGAAAACTTGAAAAAGCTTATTCTATCATCAAGGAAATGCCATTTGAACCTGATGCTTGTATATGGGGAGCCTTGCTAAGTTCTTGTAGAGTTCACCATAATTTGAGTTTAGGTGAGATTGCTGCAGAGAAGCTTTTCCTGTTAGAACCAGACAACCCTGGGAACTACATTCTTCTGTCCAATATCTATGCTTCAAAGGGCATGTGGGATGAAGTAAATAGAATACGTGATGTGATGAAGGGTAAGGGATTGAGGAAAAACCCTGGCTGTAGTTGGATTGAGATTGGACACAAAGTGCACATGCTTCTTGCTGGTGACAAATCACATCCACAAATGAAAGAGGTTTTGGAGAAGTTGGATAAATTGAGTATTGAGATGAAGAAGTCTGGTCACTTCCCCAAGACTAACTTTGTGTTGCAAGATGTGGAGGAGCAAGATAAGGAACAGATACTGTGTGGGCATAGTGAGAAGTTGGCAGTAGTATTAGGACTACTCAATACAAGTCCAGGACAGCCTCTTCAAGTGATTAAGAATTTAAGAATATGTGATGATTGCCATGCTGTTATAAATTTTATAAGCAGATTAGAAGGAAGAGAAATTTATGTAAGAGACACAAATAGATTTCACCATTTCAAAGATGGTGTTTGCTCTTGTGGAGATTTTTGGTAAATTATTCATGGTTATCTGAGGACTTCTCTTCAAGAGGAGTCCATTATCTGTCATCGGTCCTTCCATTAGATCAGAAAGCAGAGAATACGTTAGTCAAGATTATTTTCTGTTAACAATAATGTGATACAGTGGAGTTAATTATCTTGAGAACAGGATATTTATGCTTCATTTTTTGGTGACTGGCGACTAATAGTTCTTGGTGGCCTCAGTGGTTTTCAGTTTGGTAAACTTTTCTCTTCATTGCTCTTTGTTCTTGTAATGAACATTCATAGCAGCCTGATTTAGAATATATGGAGAGGAGACAGCTTGCAGGTCTGGATATTGGAACAGAAAATTGAGAACTTTAACATTTTTTACACGCCTAATTCAATTACTTTCTTCATGATTGAAATGGAGCATTTTCTAGCATAAGGTGTTATGATTTGAATTTTGAAGCTTTTTAATGGTTGAGACTTGAGAGTAAACTTGGGTAACTGTGAAGCTATTGAAATGTTAACATTGATAGTTCTCTTCTTTGACCTGGGCCCTGCTTTGTCCTTTTCCAAGATTTAATAATTGATCCATTCTTAGCCTAGGCAAGGTCCATCTTGTTGTGATAGAAATGAACAAGAACAAAAGGCCTGATATTTTTTCATCAGCATGATTGAGGAAGGATGATGAGGAAAAATTTCAAGAAAACTGTATATTGAATTGCCAAACCACCTACATTGTGAATCTTTCCAACAATAATTTTGGGGCTAGCAGATTGGGAAAATTCTTGGATGTTTTCTTTGGGAACTCATAGCCCGAGTCTGTAGATTTTCTTTGGGTAATAATTTTGAAGGTTTTGAGGTTGTTAAGACTTAGCTTATAAGGAGAAGTGTCTCAAATTAACATGTCTATGAATTTAGGGATTGATGTTAAATTATATATTACTTCTTTATCGGTGGCTGGAGACACTGTTTACGGATGTCTTCTGAATTTTAAAAATGTGATTCTTTTGCTGTGCCTATGACATTGTGAATTTAGGGTATCTCCTATTGAGAAAGCATTCATAATTTCATTGGCAATTCCTAGAGATATTGTTCAGTTGTTGCTGAATCACTCACTTCACTTGCTTGGCTGCAATTGAATTTTGGGCTTTAATTCCACATTGTGGGGTTCATGAGTGTAAAGAATTACTTCAACCCAAAATCTTAAGGTGTTGGGTAAGGGCCTTTTTAATGGTTTATATTATTCTTTAACACACACCCTCACGTAAAAGCCCTTTAGGCTTGAAGCGTGGATTATTGCATAAGCCCAATTTTTGGTTTATCTTATGCTTATTAATTCCACAAATGGAGGACGGTGAGGATCGAACTCGTGACCTTGTGGTCACTGAGGCTTTGATACCATGTAAAGAACCACTTCAACCCAAAACTTTAAGGTGTTGGGTGAGAGCTTTTTTAATGGTTTATATTATTCTTTAACAATGAGTAACACCACTGCTCCTAATTTGCACCGAGAGAATCACCTTAGAGAGTTAAAATGGGTTTAGAAATTTGTTTCCAGATGTCTGATGTTCAAATGGTTATGGCAATCTAATAGTGTTCAATGCAAAATTAATCATCTTTCAGGTTACATAAAACAAAACTTGTTTAGTTATATTTGCAAATGCAAGAAGTCAAGGTTACTGGTGTTGCTATAAATTGTATTGTCGAAAAAGACTACTACATCGTATTATCTGAACTCAAATTCAAATTTTCGAATCTCAACTTTTATGTTTCAGGATGATATGACCAGTTATTGTATGTTTCCATAACTTTTTAACATTAATTTTTAGTCCTTCACATTTTTGACTAAGCAAGTTTTAGTATGTGTTAAAATTGTCATATGGTCCTTCCTATAAAATTAGCAAGAGAGTAGGAGCTACTTGCTGTGTACCTGTAGGAGCTCCACCATTGAAGCACCAAACTCTTCCATCTCAAAGTTGATTATGTCATCAACTTTCGAAATACAGCACTGGACAATGCTATGCTGGGTGAATGGGTGGCAACCTTCTGCTGCAATGGTTGAGTTTGCCTGTAGATCTGTGCAAGGTGCATTTCTGGCCAACTTAACTTTATATTTGCTCGTTTACCATTTTCTCTCCTGTGGCTTGATTACTGTATTATGAATACCTGGTGCTGGATCCAACCCACAATGGAATGAGAGATTTCTTTTCACTGTTTCTGACAGTGGTTCTGAACTTAATCTAAGGAAAATGGATAACGACAGGTTTAGTAAAGAGTTTTCTAAATTCTTCTTTAATTTGCACATTTTGCTTGGACAGATTTTGCTTTTCCATTCAAATTTCATTGAAGATAGGATGGAATTCAAGAGAGGAGAGTAATGTTCCTAATTCTGAATTTCTGATGGACCAAAAAATGTTGCAATTTTCTTCCTTGCTAGTTGCTAATTTGATTTTTCATTTTGCATTTGCATGTGCCATGAGTAATTCTTTAGTTAGAATGGGGCATTTGCACTTTTGGCATACTAAATATGCATTCATTTCTATCTGCAGTATTCCTTTAGATGCAGTGTTTGAAGAGGGTAGCCTTCTAGAGACTGCTTTCAATGTTGTGAAGGACCAAGAATATTGTGGGAGAGATCAAGGTGGCTCTCACTTTTACTGCTGAGGAAGTGCTAAATCTATTTCACTATTATTTTTCTTCATGTTTAGATGCCTAGCTCTCTCCCTATTCAAATATACCACTAACTTATGGTTTCAGAGAGATGGTGACCAGGGTTACAGTGTGCAAAGAATCGTGCATGGAATTTTAAAGTGAAGGAAGGGTTTGCATATTTCTCAGGTCCAGAATTACTATTATGACAAAAAAGCAGCAGCAGTTTTGGGTCACTTTGGGAATTTCAGTAGCTGTGTTTTTTCTGATGTGATGATCTGGTAGTGTTGTGCTGTTATAGTGCTTTTCTCCCTTTTGATGAAAACTACATTATGCTTAACCTATTATTTTTTATGCACTTTGAATTTTATTTAAGAACAGTGTTATTTTATTTTGTTGGTAAGTTCTTTTATTACTACTATTACTATAATTATTTTTAAGAAATGTTGCTGGAATTCACTTAAATATGGAAAATGTGATTCTAAAGTGAATCAAGTTATTTAGTTAAAATAGCATTTTGTCTTATTTTTAACAATAAAAGAAAAATCTCTAATCAGTTTTAAATAAAAGAAAGTTGGTGAGTAACCATACCCTCAAATATAGTTGTGATTGTTTTAACAAAGTACTTACAAAACTAGTAACACGCGATGTTACCGAAACTGTCAACAATTTGTTTGGGATATTGAGTCAATGAGTTTAATCAATGAGTCACTTGTTGAATCGTCTAAACAAAGATATATAATTAATATATAAATAGAAGTAATATGTCTTGGGGAGGGGGCTGAATCTTTAGCCATCACTGTTCTCCCATGCTTCAGATTAGTTCCATAGCCGGCTCAAAGAGTCGAAGCTCGTGGGGATACCGGAGGGAGCCAACTCGTCTCAAAGAGATAATTAGGATTAGGTAACTCCAAAAAAAAGAAGTAATATGTAATCAAAATGATGACTTAGTGATTAGCATTTCACTTTCCTTTTCTTAGGTGAACAAGTTTAAATCTCAGGAGTGCAATTATGGTGGATACTTTGCCACAAGTATCAAAAACAAGTTTCGGGTTACCACTGTTGAATCCTATTTAATGATTTTTGACCGGGTTGCATGTATGACCGATGAATTAATTTATCCAAACCGATTAATGATTAGATTTTTTGGTTCAGCTAATCTAGCTGATCAGGGCATGTTTGGTGCATAGTATAGGATAAGGCCTGATAGTATAAGATTTGATTGTATAAGATCTGATTAAATTTTAATACTATCCAGCGTTTAGTATGATATTGTATAAGATAATATTCTTTAATATTTTAAAAATTAATATATTAAAAAAAAATATTTTAATATATTAATATTGAAATGATATATTAGTTCTTGAAAATTGTAATTGTAAGCAATATTAATACATCAATCCCTTATCAGGCCTAATCCACCCTCCTTAAGCCGGATTAAGTTATACATCATTTTGATGTATTAAGGAATTATGCTGTATAAAGCTTATACTATACGATGGTCACACCAAATAACTGAAAATGTCATAACATATAATATAAACTTATACTATCAACCCTTAAGCCCTTAGTAACACTAGTTACACCAACATGAAGTCATAGCTGAAAAATGAAAATCATGTGCACTTGTTTTGTCCTTTCTCCAGTAAAAGTCAACAAATTGTCCGGAAAAGATTGCCATATTTCCTAGTCCTTTCTAAGAATTCAAAGCATTCAAAGTATCCAAACCATGAAAGGAGTAATATATTGAGTTGAATTCCAAACAAGATGCTGCGAAACTTCAAAAGGATGCATTCATAAATGAAACAATGCTCACGTAAGAGAGAGTTAATAAATATCAGTATAAGGTTCATTAAATAAATAAATAAAAAAGTCTCTTAACTTGAAGGATATAATTTGAAACTGATTAGGCAAATACACAATACTATAGGGAATTTGATCACTGTGCCACGGTTCCAAAAAAATATACCAGAATGTCGTGTTATTAAGAAAATTTGCCAAACTGCCATGGCGTCAAACCTATTGTCAATTATAGCGAGTATGGTTTGGCACATAACACGTTTCCTTAAGTCACCAAAACCACTATCAATGGCAGCGAGTTTAGCCTAAACTCACTGCAATTGACAATGATTATGATGGCCTATCATTTCATAAAATGTGGCATAAATTTAAAAATTCTATCATAAAATTTTAAAAGATCATAACTTTTGATAAAATTGTCTGAATTAGGTGATTTTTGTTTTTTTATTTTACGTAACTTTTTGAGATTTAAGCGCTGGCAAATACCAGAAATAAAAATTTTTTCCCAAAAAATGTTTCCTTGTATCCTATTTAACATATTTTATCTTTGTAAATAAAGTTATTTAATTCGTATTATTTTCATTCTCCAACACTAAGAAATAATCATTTCAGCGCTTAGATTTCAAAAAGTTATGTGGAATAAAAAAAATATCCGATTCAGACACCCGAATCAGAAGTTATGGCTTTCTGAAATTGAGTTGACTTTTTGACCAATATACTCGCTACCCCTGATAGCGAGTTTGTCCTACTATGCCACGTGACAGATGAAACTCGCTGCCATTGTAAACGAATTTGACGCCGTGGCATCAGCTCCGTGGCATTTCGATTTTTTTTTGGGAACCCCGTGGCAGTACTGTCAAAGTCCCACAACTATTATGTATCAAAATTAAAACTAAAAGTAGGGGTGTTCGCGTTCTGGATTGGATCGATTTTGTAAGCAAAAATCATTTGATCCAATTCTTTCGGTTTTATCATATAATCATTCATTCGGTTTGGATTTTTTTTCAAATCCGATCCAATCCAATTTTTTTCGGTTTGGATTGGATTGATTTTTGGTTTTTTGAAAAATCCTAAAATTTGTTTCATGATTATTGTGCAAATAACATCTTTTGTATATATTGGTTTTGTAATTTTTTTTTTTTGAAATACAATAGCAGTAGTAAATGATAATAGAGTTTTTTTTTGGCAATGAGATATGAAGCTCTACATACAGATAAAATTTTATTGATGAGATGTGACCAAGTTTTTTTTGGATTTAGTTGATGGGTTAACGAGTCTTGGGTTTAGAAATTTTTGGGCTATGATTGGGGATAGACCCAAGTAGGTAGAGAGAAATTAATATATTGGATCGGTTTGGATTATGTCAGTTTTCATCAACCAATCCGAAAACCGATCCAATCCAATTAAAATTTGCGGGGTTTTTTTGATTTTCGATTTTTCAATTTATTCGGTTATCGATTTTTCGGTTCGGTCACCGCAGTTTGAATCGGTTGATGAACACCCCTAACTAAAAGTAACAACTATTATATAGATGACGAGAACTCATGATGGGTTTTTCATAAAATATGAATGGAATGTGAACACTGCTCATGTGATCCAAAATTTCCCGAATGCATCACAATACGCGACGTTACTCGAAAATTCTCCCAATTACATTTCTTCACCCAAAGTCAAAGTTGCAAAAGAATGGTTATAATGTATGCAAGGTGAAAAAGTCTCATCTTGCATAATCTAAAAGATATATACTAATATATGCCAACATTTAATTTAAGAATTCAACCGAAGTTTGAATTCAATCTTGATAAATGCCAACTTCGATTTCTTTCTTTATTTTTTTAACCCCTCTTAGGGGACAAGTCAATAACATAGTGATAGAGACCAAACTAGATTAGTACCCTGTACCCGTGCATCATAGATTCCTATGAAAATACAAAATAAAATAAAATAAAAAAATTGGAAAAATGTATTAAAAAAAAGGAATATATAAATAGGCAATTGTTTAGAACTCAAATTTAAAATAAACAAGACATATGTAAAGATATGCATTAAAGGAAGAGATGATTAAAATATGTATGCAATTTAATGTATTGATTGCGGGCTCAATGCATAAAGATGTGAATTTGGTGCGAAATAACTTAGAAAAGATGCTAATATTTTTATTTTATATTTTTTTTTGGGGGGGGGGGGGGGGGTGCAGTATCAGACTTAAAGATAAAAATTTAATTTATATAATGATATTAGAGATATTAATTGTTTATTTTCAATGCATAATGATTCATGGGGATATAAATAAAGACATAATGTGATGTGGGATATAACCTTTAAAAATGTCTAATGAGATACTTAATGTTGATTAAAGAAAACAACATTTTGAATTAAAAAACTTATTTATTATATTCTTTATTGAGCTCGCATTTTATGTTTTTTTTATATACAAGTTGCATTTAATGTTTGCTTATATGTTAGTTTGTACAATTTTCTACAAATTGTGGCATATAAATTATTTTCAAAAAATATAAACAAAATTTTTGCCCGTTTATCATATAAACTTTATTTATACCCAAAAAATAAAAAAAGTCTAGCGCATCTAGTCAATGTCAGTTCATGATAAATTTATAATTTTAGTTTGAATAGAGGATTTTTGTTAGTTGGTCATTTATAAATATCTCATAAGTTTTTATTGAGTTTAAAAGTTTCTCCTAATCGAAATGCAGATAATTATTCACTCACCTTAAATTTATTGTAAAAAAAAATTATAAAAGAAAAGAGAAAAAAATAATATTTAAAAGTTGAAATTGAAATGTATGACCTATAGACTATAAAATTAACAACTTATGGCCATTCGATATAAATGGGATGTACACCCACGCATATATCCAATCCCATAATAATATCTAAATTGATATTAGTGCATCGCATTATTATAAAAATAAAATTGACGATTTTTCGTATTGTTTTTAAAAGAAATATGTATTAGTTAAAAGTATACAGAAAAAAAAAACCGTGACCTAAAAATTAAATTTTAAATTTTAAAATGTAGGTGTGGTTAGTGAAGATACACATGAAAGGCTGAAATTATTAAAATTTATTATTTCATTTTGTACTAGAGGGACTCCAACAAATGACCGGTTAAGTTGATATTCTAACCCGCCAAACCGCTTGAACTTGCCTCGCTTAAGGGAGGGTCAAAACAGGTTCAACCCTAAACGGGACTGGAGCAAAATGGCTTGATCCGCCAAATTGATTTTCAATTTTTATTTTTAAAAATATATTAACTAATGGTATTATTGTTAAGAACCTTGAGGTCACCACCCCAAAAGCTAGCTCAAAAGGAGGGAGTGTCCAAGGTCTTATAAACCTCACATTAGTTGCCCATACAACCAATGCGAGACTATATTTCTCAACAATTATTTATATTTTTTTGTCATCATTCGATACATTTAACATTTATGGGGAGTATAATTTTTTTTAAAAAATTATTTATTTATTTATTTATTTTTTTTTATA